AGTTGATTTCTTAGTTAATTAAGACACAGGAGTAGTTGATAGACCGAAGCACCAACCCCGAGCTTCCGACATTTTTCACTACTAGCGTCACAGTTCTCTTCCAACCAACAAGCTGCACCACAGCGAGCTCAACCGTCAGGTATATAACATAACCTTGACATAATCTTGACATAACCGTCTTTGTACGTGTCTTATCTACTGGGCTTCGGTTGTGAATTTTCGATTCGAGCTCTATATCTCTCGATATTTACGAAAAACTGTTAGCGGCGGCCATCTTGTGACGTCATGCTCGTGAGATTGACACCACTCTGGCCGAATATTGCAAATATCTCCGCAATAACTGCAAAACGGATATTTCTACAACCGAAGCCCAGTCGTTTAGTCTTTCCGGAATCTAAATTTTCCACTTGTGAACTGCATACTTCGATATTAAAGCGTCAGTTTTGGTCGATAGACACCCCTGAAACTAATATACGTATATGGTTTTCTTGTATGTGTGGCTCGTCATAGTGTGCGGCGACCCGGGCCCTTAAAGGTTTGTTATAACGTCGAATTTTTATCGCGCAGCTCTGAAATCAAGATCGAGTTCGCACGGTTGTCTGAAATAGCGGTTCTTCATTGAATGAGAGAATTTTCTCGGAGTCTTAGACCTTTTTCATTTATGTGCCGTAGACACCGCAAACAAGTTGGTTCGGAGAGAAGTGATCCGAGAAAACAATCAAAAATTCAATTAAAGAAAGGGAAACGACGAATTAAACTTCCGTCTTGTACAAACTTGCTACCGCTATTCGTTTTCCGCTAAGTATTTGCGGAGAGAAAGTGCTGGAGCAATTATGAGTTGCGTAAAAGTTTCCTAGTGATTGGGCAAATTAATTCAAGAAGAAGCTTATGAGAAATGGACGGGAAACGAGGAAAGACTACCCCTTTTGTTCGAATGGACGTTCCTCGTCTCTTTTCCTTGAAATATCTTCGGATGTCAATTAATATATCGCAAAATCAATATGTTCCCAAGAAAATGATGGTCCGCTGAGGAGATAGCGGAGGTTAATTTCACGGCAGTCTCTCCTTAAGGCGTTTAATATTTACAGATCTTCGTAGACAATCGATTAACAAGCGGACAGCGATTCTCAGAGTCGCAGCTACGATTCCAAACTTGAAAAAACACGCGTATGTGGCATACCTCTGTTAACGGTATGTTCGCGTTCGCATTCTCCTTGTGGAAATATTATTCCATTTACGACTCGCTTCTGCTCCAATAATACGTTCATCTAATCGCTGAAACATATTGTGCTCCGATATCTGCATTGCTGTTAACAGCGGCTACAGTAAGTGAATCATGGTTGTAAGATGATATATATTCTTGCGAATTGAATCGTCCACCGGGCACCGAATAAAATATACTTTTGCTTATTGATTTAAATAAATGTACGTACACGTGAAAACGGTGAGAAATATTTGTACAATAAGAAAACATTGTCGAGAGTTGTAGTCTTGAAGTAAATAATTTTATTTGAACGTACAGTATACACTGTTACGGTCAACGTAAATGAATACATAAATTGACGAAATTAATAGAAGACAATATTTTAAACGGATGCAAGAATTCGTATGCTATCAGAAACATTTGATGTTCGACATTAATTTGTATACATTGTGCGTGAAAAACTGTACAATCTAGTAATTATACGTGTAAAAACCGCGATTTCTAGAAGAAGTGAGAACGGTATATTATAGTCAGACGCGTGAAGATAATTTCTCAACCGAATCATCCGAAACGTTTTGCGAACGAAAGTTACCGAAATCGTTTCCCGCCAAATTATTCACCGAAGTTCGAGGTTTGCCATTGTACGAATACTTTTCTCCTGCTGTTTGTCGATTCTGAAAAATCACAAGCGAGTTTACCACGACTTCAATCGCAGTTCGTTTTCACGTGTAGAAAATTTGGAGAAAATCAGGGTTTAACTTGTTCTCCGAGAACGGTACAAATCGAGGACCGGTTTCGATAAAAATTCCGCATCGACTGTCGCTGAACGCGAAACCGAGCGACGCGAAGACGCGTAGCTCGAGTCCGTAAGCCACGAGTTATTACGCACGTTGCGACTCTGAGGTCTAATCCTCCCCGTTCTCCTTTCACGTGTCTGCAGGTTCAGCCCCTACGAGTGGGAGAATCCCCATCTGTGCAACGGACAGTCCGAGGTCCTCGAGAACGAGTTCACCCTGATGAACTCGCTCTGGTTCACCATAGGCTCGCTCATGCAGCAAGGCTCTGATATAGCGCCGAAGTAAGTCACCGAAGGAGCACGCTAATTGTTTGCTACAAATCCGTGTCTTGCGCGGATATTTCAGTTAACGGGGACGCGGCGACGGTCGGTGTTCCGAGGCACGAACTCGAACTCGAACTGAAACACGGTGTCGAACTAGTTAACCGGTTCGCGAACGGTTCATCTTGGTATACCTGCACACGTGTACGGTATACGTACACCGACACGGTGAAATAGAAGTTTTAGAGGGTTCGGCCGGAAGGAAGACGAGATTCGGGGGTCGATAGGTGCTACTCTTCTGTAACGATAGCCTGGATATGCTATATCGTAGGCTTGCTGCAACCGATCACGTTCTATCGTGTGTCGAGACACGTCGGCCGTGCTTCGCTATCGCTATCGCTAACCGTTCTGTCTCGTCGCCAGTCACAGCGACGACGTTTAATGGAAGTTGTTGCTGTTCTCCCGGGAACTCGTAAGATAATGATATGGGGCGAGGTAACGGGAACGACAGCGCCGAACGCTCGATAACTTCCAGGCTCCGGTGAGTTTTCACGGAATCTCGCTTAAATTGGAAACGCCGGAAACGAAAACGGAAACGGAAACATTCGTTATGCCATGCCGTTCCGGTACGAACGAATTCTCGGGATGTTTGGATAAGAAGACCCGGCCGAGTTTGAAATTATTTCGGCCACTCTATTACAATTTCGTTCAGCGCCATTAGCTCCTCGCACTCGAATGCTATTTTCGAGCCGTTGCTCGAACTTGCCGCGCGACGGGAACGCTGCTCGTGTCGCTACATTTCATGAAACATTGAATCGGTTTGCGGGCATGCGAGCATTTAGCGTCAAATCTTCGCGATTCTTGCTGGCTCGCGTCAGTTCTTCGAACTGGAAGAAATGTTGCTTTTAATACTTTATCGAGGGATGATCGATCAATTGGCAATCGGACCGAAATTACCATTGCAGATTAAACGAAACGGTATTTAATATTAACGTTTGTAATGATTCTAGGTTTGAAGACGTTCATGAGAAACGAATGTTAAAACAGCTTCGAGTGCAAGTGTAATAACTGGATTCAATAGATACTTTTAGTAATTTCCACCTAATCGTGGAATTCTTAAATCCCTCTCGAACGTTTTTTTTTATCAAATGCGGTCCTTCTTCAAATAGAACGTCCTGACGGTATAATTCAGTTTTACTCATTCGTTTGAATTTTTCGCGAACAACTGAGAGATCCAACCTAATTTTCACAGAGAACGAACGTTCACGGAACCAAGGCCTTACATTTTAGGGGAGAGGATAATAGTTTCACTCATCCTGTCAGCGTCGAATTTCTCGTTGTTCTTAGAAAGAAATCTGAAAGTTATATTTGACTCATCCGAACAGATCGATGGGAGCATCGATTCGAATCAAATTTTACGAGTTCCATGCTTAGAAAAGGTATCTGAATTATTTAAAGGAGACAGCAGCAATTTCCACGCGATTAAACCGGGACACCTGACACTTTCACTACTCGTTAGACGGAGAAGACTGTATTTAGACGCTTCTGTCTTCCGACACTCTGCGCGAGGCAGCCCCTATTCCCCGAGTCGTTATCGTCGTTCCTTATTTAGTAGGATTAACGCTTAAGTTGGTGTCATGTGTGTTACATTAGACGGATAGTTCATAGTAGCGTAGAGCGCGTGAGTTGCATGAGACGGTAAACGTAGAAGCTTGGAGTGTTCTTGGGTATAATTTGGCTAATCGAGTTTTGGGACTAATGAGAGGCGGGAAACCAGAAAGAACCACTTCATACGCGACTACTAGACTACGGAATTTCATATATTTTCTTTATATCTGTACCCACGCGGAGTTTACTAATTGACAGAATTTGCATTATTCTTTGTCTGAGATTTTACAAAAAATATCTACGAAAATGAGAATTTGCATAAAGATCCGTGGTAGAGCTTTGATCTATTATTTAATCTTTCTACGATGTTCATAAAATGATGATCGAATCACATAAATCCGACTATGTTTTTAAACTTATTGCACATTAAAGGATTATAATAATCGATGTAAAAACACAGGGGAGGGTACAAATTTACTGATTAAAAGCAAGCAAAGTCGATAAAGATTCCAATAAGGTGTGGTAATTGAAAAAATTACACAAGAAATCTAGTGTACACCGGCAAAATCGTAGAAGGTTTAACTAATAACGCAGCTTTATGCAGAGAACAAATATCTCTCAATTTGGTCCCGTTTTGAGCATGAGCATGAATGGTACGGTTCCAACTTGAATTAAACAAACTACGCGCTATAGACGCGCATACCTTGCTCCCTTTGTCACGGGTACAAAAAGTAGACAGTATGTACCGAGGTGCCAATATTAGATTTAAATCATCGCAGCGGTGAAATCTGTGAAGCTGAGCAAACTTGATTACGAGAGAATATACGAAATTTAGATATTGTTCAATTTAATAAAGTCTCGCAGTGTTGAAACAGTCTATCGAAGTAAATTGCAAGGGAATTCGTTGGTGGAGAAGATATTCTGAATATTTTCGCGTCAAGGTACCTCTGCACCGTTCAAATTCTCATCGCAGGGCCGTGTCAACTCGCATAGTGGCGGGGATGTGGTGGTTCTTCACTTTGATCATGATTTCTTCGTACACTGCCAACTTGGCCGCGTTCCTCACCGTCGAGAGGATGGATTCGCCGATCGAGAGCGCCGAGGATCTCGCAAAGCAGACGAAAATCAAATACGGCGCCCTCAAAGGAGGCAGTACCGCGGCCTTTTTCAGGGTAAGATCGCATGAATATCTTATGAACCCTATACAAACATCAGCGTAATCGTCTTATTGAACTTCGTTCAATATTTTTCTATGATAGCGTCGATAGACGCGAACGGATAGATCGAGAGACACTTGAACCATTGATTGTTTCAGAAGTAAATCATTGTTATTTACGATTATGCATTATTACTGTTAAACGAACAGTAATCACGGTATTTTCAGTCTAGAAATATTAGAAATAGAAGTATTTAGAAATATTAGTTCCACCGGAAAGTTCTGTCCGTTTTTCAATTGAAATATAACACAATTTTCATACATTTAACACGTTCCGTGCCGAGCTTTTTTTACTCGAATCTTCACACTTTGATATTTTACTAAAACTTGATGTATTACGTGCAATTATTAATTCTCGTACACATAACAACGTAACAAAAACTTATCAACGCCCATTCTTGCGGTGGAAATTGATTCTTCGGTTCTAAATTTCTTGTAAACAATTTGTTCAGTTCACTAAGTAAACATGCAAGCGTGTACCATCGATGGTACACGTGGCACGGAACGTGTTAATAATATTTTTATTGTAGCATATACTTTCCATCGTTACTTATGACTTCTTGCCAGCGTGATGGCAACTTGTAAATGCCATTTTTAAAAATAATTTATTTTTAGAGGCGAAGAATTCAACCAGTGCTTGGTCGACATCAGCTTTAGTTTTGAATTTTTTTCCTGTAAAAAGCTTTGCAAAAAGAGAGAAACAAGTGATAATCGGTCTGGCATTATCATCGGTAGCCATGTTTTCACGATTGCGTCTCACTTAACCCTTTCGCTACGGGCGGATTCTCCGTCGCGGTACTTCTGCTGAACAGAGCGCTGCGACATCACTGCACGCTACGCGACGGCGATCGTCAGCGGAAGTCGGTACTCCGCGGCGGTCGGCGGAGAACCTAAGCTGTTTGAATTGAATGAATTTTTCGAACGAAAAAATTTTTCTCCAAAGGGTATTTATAAATAAAGGGTATTCCAGGGTATTTTATAACGTCTTAGCATGCGCTCTTTAATTTACAGTATGAGAGGAAATAACATTATGCAATATAATGCATCTTATGGAAAGCCACTATAGTGGTCCGTAGTACCTCAGTGGCACCATATGGAAAGCCACTATAGTGGTCCGTAGTACCTCAGTGGCACCATATGGAAAGCCACTATAGTGGTCCGTAGTACCTCAGTGGCACCATATGGAAAGCCACTATAGTGGTCCGTAGTACCTCAGTGGCACCATATGGAAAGCCACTATAGTGGTCCGTAGTACCTCAGTGGCACCATATGGAAAGCCACTATAGTGGTCCGTAGTACCTCAGTGGCACCATATGGAAAGCCACTATAGTGGTCCGTAGTACCTCAGTGGCACCATATGGAAAGCCACTATAGTGGTCCGTAGTACCTCAGTGGCACCATATGGAAAGCCACTATAGTGGTCCGTAGTACCTCAGTGGCACCATATGGAAAGCCACTATAGTGGTCCGTAGTAGCGAAAGGGTTAATAATGACATGAGACATTTCAACATGTGTATACGGATTGAAACTTGAAGTAACACTATCGGACAGAACTTTCCGGTAGACCTAATATTTCCTGAAAGCCAACAGAAAAATTTCTTTGATTGCTGGAACTGATTAATCGATTTTCTAAATTTATTCTACATATAATATGAAATTATTTCCTCTATGTTGAATATATTAATTATTATTACGCCGGTATATTTAGTGTGTTAGATTAAGTAATCCTTGATTGTGATTATTAGCAAAATAAAATTTCGATTTAGAAGCATATTTTTGGGAACTAGAAATAATGACATTTAACCATTTCAACCCTAGAAGAACGCATGTATCCCAACGATCTTCTCTGATTGCTAGAAATTTCATACATACAGATGCGTTATTTTGCACAAATCTAATGAGTCTGCTTGAATACTATTGGTTTGGTGCGGTAATAGTGACGATCAGTAGCATACCATGCTGGATAGCTTTTATTTATACATGGTTACAATGGCAACAATTTCGTCTTTTTACACACATAAATTAGAAAATTTATCATAATTTTCGCAGCATAGGCTTTTCGTCTACGGTAGAAAGTCATCGTTTCGTATGAACAAGTTCGAAATTATTATATGCAGTTTTATTCATGTTATTGAACACTGAAGTGCCTGGGCGTTTTTGGGGGCATATATGAACAATCTCTCTCTCTCTCTCTCTCTCTCTCTTTCTCTCTCTCAGGTTTTCCCTTTCCTACTTCCAAGTTCTTCCTTTCCAAACATGTTGGACCTACTTACGGCACATCTAAAAACAATTAAGGAATAGTCACATAAATATATGTCCTATCCGCCCGCGTTTATGAGATACAATGCATTTTATAATCAGAGCAACGTCTCTGAAAGTAAAGAAGTAGAATAAAATATTTTTTATTGAAAATGCTGAAATACTACGAAATAGACAAATGCGAGAAACACTAAGAATGATAGATGCGTGCAGGCTTGTCTTCAAATATAAGATGGTGATTTTGAGCATCCTCTATGAAGATAATTAAAACAGAAAATTCATTATATCTCAAAAAAACGAAGGCAAATAAGACATGTATTTATATGATTTTTTTTTTAATTGCTTTTAGACATACAATCAGCACCTGAAGTGGGTCTCGCGTGTTATGAAACATCTTGACTAATTTGTATAATATACAATCTACATAGTACATACATGTATATTTGCGTTTACCGTAAAAAAAAACCCACTGAAAAAACTGAAGGAACATATATGTCCCAATTTTTAAAATCGTTGCACAGTGATAAAAGTAACTAAAATATCTAGTGGAATTTCAAGTGGAAAAGTAACTAAAATATCAATGGAAATTCTAGTAGAAAAGTAATTAAAATATCAATGGAATAATCTAAGGTTGAAAGGGTTAAGCTGAATGTCTGATAATGTAGATTCGCATAAACGATCACATTGATTAGATTCAATCAACTGAACTCCAATATTTACTATTAGCGATACAATTGAAAGACGATTTATGGGCGGGAACGTAGATTTAGCGCGAAGGGTCGATCTTCAAAGGCTAACGTTCAAAGTCGAAATGCGTTTAACGGGTTCCCGTAACTGATCCCGAATCAATCAGAAGAACGCGGGCGGCGCACAGTAGGGTACTTGGTCCGATTGGCGCGCTGAAAAAATTACAGCGTTATTTATTGTCCATACGTCATAATATTTGTAACGCTGAATTCGTTTTAACGTCAGCTACAACGTTATGGAATAGAAGATAAACTTTAACATATAAAAAATCAACGCGACCTTGGGTTCTTTGTAAAAAAAATTTATTTCGAAATTGATATCTAGATATCATATATATCTAGATATATATATCTAGATATAGATATCTAAATACTATTTAACTTTTATTCGAAACATTTTGTCGTCAAATTAACAGAAGTGGACGAAACAACGTGGGCAAAAGTTAAGGAAACAGTCTGTATATTACTTTTTCAAAAAAGCATTTCCTTCGCTTTTTGTCTGAACAAAATCTCAGATAAAAATGAAGGAAACCGCTTGTAAGATTACTTTATTTACCTACTATTACATCCTGCATATGATTTGCCTCCGTCATAAGCACAACATTCGTAAAAATTCACTTTTCATACGTTTCTCGACATGTTTCCGTATCGCGCGGTTAGGCTAGTTTCCAGTATTTATTTTCTACCAATTACTGCTCTTAATGTCATAATATTACTCTAGATTACTTGTATACACATTCAGGAACATAAGAAAACAGTTTCATAACATAAAAATAAAACATAAAAAATAAATACCTCGACATTTGGCGCGCTGATTGAACCAAATAACTCACTCTGATGGCGCGGCGGGGAAAACTCGAATTGCAAAGTGCGAGAACGACCATAAGCGTTGTTGTCGATCGCCGCGAAGACAGCTCGCCGCGTGATTTCCATCGGACTGCGGACAAGCAGGCACCGTGTAATAGCCCTTCTTGAAGATTAACCAATTTCGGCCGACGTTTCATCGTTTAATGGCACGTGCAATCGACGATGAAATTCCTGGCGTGATCTAGGATTCCAATTTCTCGACGTACCAGCGTATGTGGTCCTTCATGGATTCGGCAAAGCCAGAGGTATTTACAAATAGCAACGTCGAGGGCGTGGATCGAGTGATCAAGGGTAAAGGCAGCTACGCATTCCTAATGGAATCCACTTCTATCGAATACGTAATCGAGAGGACCTGCGACCTCACTCAAGTCGGCGGTCTCCTGGACTCGAAAGGATATGGCATAGCTATGCCGCCTAGTAAGTGCTACGAAATATCCTAGCGCACGTCAATGTATATTGTATGCACGCGTACAAGCTGCCGCAAAAATATGTCACTGCCGAAACGTGCACACTAGGCTGGCTCTTATTTTCTAGTTTTAACGGGATATTCCAGTATAAGTCGCGTTTCTCTGTTTTACTTTCTCTTTTGGGATTCTTTTTTTACGAAGAAACTAATAACATCTTTTGCAGTCGCGCATTTACAAGGTTTATTTACGCATGTCTCAATGATTATTTGAAGTCTCTCTCTCTCTCTCTCTCAATAATTATTTCAAAAATTATTTGAGTTCGAAAAATTAAGATTTGTTGGCATTGGATACTTTGAAACATAGTTGATTTTCAAAAAGATCGACGCATGCTGGCCACGATTGCGGCCATTTTGTCTATCTGAAATGAAAAAAAAAACGTGTAAGATCATTAATTAGTACGAGTTTGGCTATACAGGAGAGGTACTAGAACAAAAGAAAAGAATCAATTATTGAAAAAGTAGCAACACTTCGAAATTTGATTATCGATCTTTCCCATTGACGTTTCAATATTAAGAGCCTAGAAAAGTCTACAGAATAGAAATGTTTGGTTGCTTCCAGAACGATCTGTCAACATAATTACACAGAATGTCCATCTAAATTATCAAGGCAATTGGATAAGTAGATTTTGAGATATCATCATGGTTACCGTTTCGAAAACATACTTTCGAGAGCCGGTTGCAACTTCCTTAATTTGATGAATTCAAACATAAGATTTTGTGGACGCATTTCGAGAAAATGTAAAAGTCGATTTTTTTCAAAGATTCACACCAGAAATATTGATCCTATTAACATGGTGTCCTAACGATTTCTACGCAGAATCATCGTTGGAATCGACACAGATGAACAAAACTACGCGATTGCATTTTTAAGCAATGTGCATCGGCACTTTTAGATGCATCGCTGGACTAGTAGAAAGAACGAGAACGCAGAAAAATTGACACTGTGATACCAATTAACTTTTTGCTCTATAAATTTCTTTTTTATCTGATGCCAATTTCACGATATAACCTATCCCAATTGCGAGACTCAAGCTATATTATATACAGGGTGTACCGAAATGACACAACCGACCGGACAGTGATTGTACATGCAAAAATAAGTCGAAGAAAGGGTGCAACATTATTTCATTTAAGGCTTTATTTTCGAGACAAGTGAGCTGGTAGGTGCGTCAAGTTCGAATGGCTTGTAGTATAACGAGAAATAGAATTGGTATGTCATGGTCAGACGTGCTATTCGATTCCAATTCAAAAGTATTTTTTCAATCTATTTTTTTTTAATATTATTTTTTTTATCTTATTTTTACACGTGTGAAATCGCCTTTTGCTCCGTTGTATCGCGATTTTTGGGACATCCTGTATATCTAAGTAGCATAAGTAAATAATTTACAGAAAAAAAGGCACACATACACACAGATTTCTTTATGGTATTCTAGCATTTTTATGGTATTAGATAATAATACCATCGAATGGCTTTATTACAAATAATTCTAATGTAGAATAGTCAATGTCAATGTCAAATAGTCCTCAGTCAAAAATATGTACGTTTCGGACGGTCCCGTATTTTTGGCATTCCTTGTACAGTTGGTAGTATAAACTCGTCACCTAGATGCACCGTTAGCCGATTATACACGACCGATAGAGACGCGAGCTATTCCAGCCGATCGACATGTATATCCCTGATTTATTGGCTCTGGGCAAACGGCGTCGAATCGCAAAGATAATTTTTCACATTCGTTGCACGGATTTATAGGGAAATTAGGAAAACGCCGGTTTCTATACGATTCCAACGGGAATTTCAACCGATTCCAAGCTTTGCGCATTGTTCCGCGGGAACAAGCTCGGTCGCTAAATATTCTCTGTCTCGTTAAAAAGCGAATCACTGGCGTTCGCTGTAAAAATATTGCAACTGTAAACATTCGGAAGAGCGGTGCTGTAGGTCACAGTTTTTCACTTTTGTTTGTGTAATCTCTGGTGTTCTGTTTCGGTGATCTACGAACGAGATACCCGTAGCAAAATTTAAGGACACGATCTAGAGAACTGAGAAATATACTCGTACGAAGAAATTGTTACCACCGGAAACAGCACAAATGATTTTGCAACGTTACCAATAACAACCAAAAGTTTACGCGGATAATGGAACAAGAATATTTCCTTCGTTATTTAAAAATATAGATTTTTCAGTCTATTAGTATTTTATATTTGCTCAAGCTTCAACCTTTAAGTGATGACCACACTGTTTAAACGCTAGAACTACCGGGCTAAACGCAACTAATATACAGTGACTCGCATTAATATTCGGACACCATATAGTTAGAAAAATTATTGCTCCTTTTTATTGTTTAAGATAGTATTATTGAATGAATTGTTTTCTCATATAATAAAGCATTTCTTCAAATAAGTAGAAACATAAATTTTGTTTATTTATTCCACACGGTTTTTTGTATAATAAGCGATCAACAAGATTGTGACAAAATTCTACGTCGCAAAAATATTCGGACAGTGAATAATAATTTTATATAAAATGAAGATCTTTTTAATCATGTTATCATAATATTAATATTTCGTCGGTTGACCCTTTTGTTTTGTTACTTCATGTAATCACTTGGGCATGTTACAGATGACTTTATTTAAATAATCCGGCGAAATCCATTTTCATTCGTCTAACAAACGTTGTTTTATCTCTGTTGTTGTGTTTGTAGGTGTTGTACGAATTTTGCGGTCCAATTGATCCCATTAATTTTTAATTGGATTTAAATCAGGCGATCGAGGAGCAGGATGCAGTACTTTTAGACAATTGTGTAATAAATATTCCTGTACAATTCTCGCCTTGTGTTTAGGATCACTGTTCTGATAAAACTTAAAACTGTACGTATACCCATATTTATAGCACTTGCAATTAAATTTTTTTTTAAAAATGTCCAAATACTTCATTTTGTTCATAATACCATCGATAAAAACTAGTTCACCTACACCTACAGACGAGATACAACTCCACACTATTACACTCCTACCACCGTGTTTCACTGTCGGTCTTAAATTTGAAATGTTTAATTCTGTATTTACTTTACGCCACAGCATTTTTTGACTGTCGGATCCGTAAAGATGAAATTTGCTTTCATCCGAAAATCATCATTCCACCACCAGTTGTCTTTGTAAAAATATTCTTTTTGAAATTTGCAAAACAAAAAATGGTGTGGCGTAAAGTAAACACAGAATTAAACATTTCAAATTTAAGACCGACATGGTGGTAGGAATGTAATAGTGTGAGGTTATNTGGTGTGGCGTAAAGTAAACACAGAATTAAACATTTCAAATTTAAGACCGACATGGTGGTAGGAATGTAATAGTGTGAGGTTATAGTTATAGTTGGGGTCTCGTCTGTAGGTGTAGGTGAACTAGTTTTTATCGATGGTATTATGGATAAAATGAAGTATTTGGACATTTTTAAAAAAATATTTCTTTACGAGTTCTATAAATATGGGTATACGTACAGTTTTAAGTTTTATCAGGGCAATGATCCTAAACACAAGACCAGAATTGTACAGGAATATATTGTCCAAAATTACTGCATCCTGCTCCTCGCGATCGCCTGATTTAAATCCAATTAAAAATTAATGGGATCAATTGGACCACAAAATTCGTATAACACCTACAAAGACAACAACAGAGATAAAACAACGTTTGTTAGACGAATGAAAATGAATTTCGCCGGATTATTTAAATAAAGTCATCTGTAACATGCCCAAGCGATTATATGAAGTAATAAAACAAAAGGATCAACCGACAAAATATTAATATTATGATAACGTGATTAAAAAGATTTTCATTTTATATAAAATTAATGTAATTCATTCACTGTCCGAATACTTTTGCGACGTAGAATTTTGTCACAATCTTACTTATCGCTTATTATACAAAAACCATGTGGAATAAATAAACAAAATTTATGTTTCTACTTATTTGAAGAAGTGCTTTATTATATGAGAAAAAAAAACAATTGATTCAATAATACTATCTTAAACAATAAAAAGGAGCAATAATTCTTCTAACAATATGGTGTCTGAATATTAATGCGAGTCACTGTATATTGTTTTAGAACAATGACAAGATTAGGTTTATAAGGAATTGTACACCCCCTTCCAAAAGTATTAGAACATTTACAGAAAATTAAATAAATTTGAGAAACCGATAGAAAATTCTTATCATTTCTTCAATTTATTTCAACTTAACTTTATGAAACTTTAACAAGTAGATTATACATATTTAACAGTATAATACAAATAACGTGAATTTTATAAAAGGGAATTAAATTGTCTTTACGGCAATATATCCACCGCGTTTTCAGTTATTTCTTCAACCAATTTCGGTTATTATTTTGTTCCTATTTGATTCCATGTGTTTTGTACTATGATCCACATATTTAGAAAAGCGAGTAGTATGAAATGAACTAATCATACGTTTTCAATGAACAGAATGCAATAAATGGGAAAGCTAATCGTATAAGCGACAGACACTTATAACGTAATATGTATTTTCGACAATAAGATGCTTTAAAAAACTACAATTTATATTAAATAAGAAGGTGTCCTAATACTCTTGGAGGGGAGTGTACAAATTAAAAACCAGAAATTTTGACTGGTTCGATAGCTTTAGCGTTAAAATCACTGCTGGTGTCAATTTGCCATCATGTCAGTGCTATCGTCGTGATACGAAATCAACTTGATGTATAAAACATGACCACTAATGATAACAGTTAATTTAACGTACGTCACCACTCTAAGGTTAATGTACTATCTAAACAAATACAGGTTTCTCTGCTCAGTTGATACTACAGTAGTAAGTAGTTTTATATAAATAAAACTTGCATATTTTTATCATTCACGATTTCCTAGATTTTACTGCTTCCGTCTCTTGAACATAAATGATAACAGTTATAGAAATACATTTCTTACGAGAACTATTATCAGCGAGAACATCTGAAAGATCTGCGACTGTCAACTCGGCACGTTCGCTGGTCGAAAGCGATAACTGCGTTGACAGCTTCCGATACTTTCGGAAATGATAAAAGCCGACTGGGGGAGGAGATAAGACTTTCTCAATATGACCTTGGCACTTCAGATTCACCATACAGAACGGCTATAAGCGGAGCGATCCTGAAACTGCAGGAAGAGGGGAAGCTGCACTTGCTGAAGACGCGCTGGTGGAAGGAGAAACGCGGCGGTGGATCTTGCAGGGTAAGCATGCAAATACAGCCTCCCTTATTCTCCTTGGGCAGCGTTCCCGACGCTCGTGTACTCAATAACACCTTCCGAAATTTTTATCCTCCGCTGGTATATTTCGTTCTGACTAGGCTCCGCTCACGAACACGTAGCGTGGGTGGGTGGTTAGAGAGCGTAGCTGCGGGGAGACAGTTTCATAAATTCGTGAAATCATGGCCACTACTATTTTGCAGCTTTTATTTGCCAGTATTATTCTGCCAGGATGAATTCCAGCAACTGCTTCTCGCTGAAAATTCAGTTTCTCAAGCTACCAAATGGAGAAAACAGCGGTGTTTATCAACACATTTGCCGACGAAAATTCTATAAAATCAAAGTAATTTATCTGGTGAAATAATAATGGAAGAGCTGAGATGCGTAGATAGATATTCTTGTAGACGTTGTTATTTAAGTTAGGGTGACTTGACCAGTAAATAAACACTTCAGTTAAATTGATCATCCACAAATCGTTATTTAATTACCTAGACGATACTATCGTATGATAGCAACTCAATTTTGATTCAATTTTAATTATAATATTTTCGTTATAATTTTTCTTAAAAGCGAAATATAAAATTTGGTGAAGAATGCATGACCAAATCAATAAATGACCAAAAATTTTTATTGAATTAACAGTAATATCCCAGTGAATGATAAACTTTGTCAGAGTTTAATTCGACGCATCTCAAAATGCAAAAAGTAGATTTCAAGTAACAATGCTTGCCCTGTACGTAGGTAATGTCGTTAAGCTGACTAAACAAATGTAAATGAAACAATTGTAAATTATTCAAAAATATAAGCGAAAGCAATATATGGCTTCTTCAAGACATCTGAAGGAGTACAAAAAACTGCGATATAAATTTCAATGCGTAAACTTCAAGGATAAACATTAATTTTTCATCGAATATGGAAGATGTTCATTTACTGGAGGATATTCATTCATTGTATAGATCGCTCTATAAACGTTAAACTTGGTTCGTTTAATTCCATTTGAAGTGTACTACTATGAAAAAATAGTTCTATTATACAGATAATGTACTGCAAATACAAAACTTGTTGTTAATAACAAATTAATTCACGTGGTAGGTGAGAGCTGGCATGAAAGGAACATTTTTGTTTCATATTCAGTATAACAAACAAATAACCATTGTATTTCTATTTGGTTTAATTATAAAAGTCATCTAGAGTAAGTGTGTCAATTACTGTGCTACCCCCTTGTTACTGTACTCTCACACTACTTTTGCTTACATTTAAGAATGTCATTGTGAAGCAGAAGATATTGAATTTGATTAAACTTTTCCTTGAGGGTTTCAATTTTTTTGACTTTCCAGTGTACATCCCAATGGATTTTGTCGAGAAAAGTCCAAAAATCGAAGTCCTGAATTTAGGAATGTTATTAACACGTTCCGTGCCGAGCTTTTTTTACTCGAATCTTCACACTTTGATATTTTACTAAAACTTGATGTATTACGTGCAATTATTAATTCTCGTACACATAACAACGTAACAAAAACTTATCAACGCCCATTCTTGCGGTGGAAATTGATTCTTCGGTCCTAAATTTCTTGTAAACAATTTGTTCAGTTCACTAAGTAAACATGCAAGCGTGTACCATCGATGGTACACGTGGCACGGAACGTGTTAAAATAAGTCCTAAATTTACGGGGACTATTACTACTATACAGGAAATATTCTCGTGGACGGGCAGCACATTTACAATTTTGCCGATATTTTCATATGTTGATGATTACTTACGTTCCTCAAATGTACAGATATAAAATACAGTGAATTCTCCTTAGAAGGCCCGGAGCTCGGAATTGAAAATAGTAATCGTCAGACACTCGGATATGATTCATCGAGTCCCGCGGTTCGTTTTTATAGAAACTCGGGACAGTCGGCAAAACAGGACAGCGACCAGCATACTAGTATACATTAATATGAATACATAATAAAAAAACGATTTATTTCTAATTTTTTGCCACGATTTCAAGGCAATTCGGAGGCCACATACCACGATTTGAAGGCAATTTAGAGACCACATGCCACGATTCGACGAAGACTGGTCGCGTGGCTTGTAGCACCGCGATATTTCTTACCTGATTCACTTCCGAAATTTGGCATTTCCGGGAGAAACTACTGTACTGCCACATTTTATCCTATAGTACGTAAGCACTGAAAAAATAAGAGTTGTTGCAGCAATTACTTCTGTAACTCTCATGCACCTTATACAACAACAACAAAGAAAACGTTGGTTTACGACCTCAAAGTATCGTGTCCGCGACTATACGCGAAGTATTAAGGGGGAGGATTCTCCCTAATCAACAGTTACGAATTCTTCAAAGACACGTAGCCCTGTTCTCGGACTACAAAAGTTTTCGCTGAGAAAAGTAACTTTAGCAATTTAACCCTTTCGCTACGGGCGGGTTCTCCACCGCGGTACTTCCGCTGAACGGAGCGCCGCGACATCACTGCACGCTACGCTGTCTCTTATACACATCTAGATGTGTATAAGAGACAGCTATAGTGGCCCGTAGTACCTCAGTCACATCTTATGGAAGGCCACTATAGTGGCCCATAGTACCTCAGTGAAATCTTATGGAGGGCCACTATAGTGGCCCGTAGTACCTCCTGTCTCTTATACACATCTAGATGTGTATAAGAGACAGCTATAGTGGCCCGTAGTACCTCAGTCACATCTTATGGAAGGCCACTATAGTGGCCCATAGTACCTCAGTGAAATCTTATGGAGGGCCACTATAGTGGCCCGTAGTACCTCCTGTCTCTTATACACATCTAGATGTGTATAAGAGACAGCTATAGTGGCCCGTAGTACCTCAGTCACATCTTATGGAAGGCCACTATAGTGGCCCATAGTACCTCAGTGAAATCTTATGGAGGGCCACTATAGTGGCCCGTAGTACCTCCTGTCTCTTATACACATCTAGATGTGTATAAGAGACAGCTATAGTGGCCCGTAGTACCTCAGTCACATCTTATGGAAGGCCACTATAGTGGCCCATAGTACCTCAGTGAAATCTTATGGAGGGCCACTATAGTGGCCCGTAGTACCTCCTGTCTCTTATACACATCTAGATGTGTATAAGAGACAGCTATAGTGGCCCGTAGTACCTCAGTCACATCTTATGGAAGGCCACTATAGTGGCCCATAGTACCTCAGTGAAATCTTATGGAGGGCCACTATAGTGGCCCGTAGTACCTCCTGTCTCTTATACACATCTAGATGTGTATAAGAGACAGCTATAGTGGCCCGTAGTACCTCAGTCACATCTTATGGAAGGCCACTATAGTGGCCCATAGTACCTCAGTGAAATCTTATGGAGGGCCACTATAGTGGCCCGTAGTACCTCCTGTCTCTTATACACATCTAGATGTGTATAAGAGACAGCTATAGTGGCCCGTAGTACCTCAGTCACATCTTATGGAAGGCCACTATAGTGGCCCATAGTACCTCAGTGAAATCTTATGGAGGGCCACTATAGTGGCCCGTAGTACCTCCTGTCTCTTATACACATCTAGATGTGTATAAGAGACAGCTATAGTGGCCCGTAGTACCTCAGTCACATCTTATGGAAGGCCACTATAGTGGCCCATAGTACCTCAGTGAAATCTTATGGAGGGCCACTATAGTGGCCCGTAGTACCTCCTGTCTCTTATACACATCTAGATGTGTATAAGAGACAGCTATAGTGGCCCGTAGTACCTCAGTCACATCTTATGGAAGGCCACTATAGTGGCCCATAGTACCTCAGTGAAATCTTATGGAGGGCCACTATAGTGGCCCGTAGTACCTCAGTCACATCTTATGGAAGGCCACTATAGTGGCCCATAGTACCTCAGTGAAATCTTATGGAGGGCCACTATAGTGGCCCGTAGTACCTCAGTCACATCTTATGGAAGGCCACTATAGTGGCCCATAGTACCTCAGTGGCATCTTATGAAAGGCCACTATAGTGGCCCGTAGTACCTCAGTGGCATCTTATGAAAGGCCACTATAGTGGCCCGTAGTACCTCAATGGCATCTTATGAAAGGCCACTATAGTGGCCCGTAGTACCTCAGTGGCATCTTATGAAAGGCCACTATAGTGGCCCATAGTACCTCAGTGGCATCTTATGAAAGGCCACTATAGTGGCCCATAGTACCTCAGTGGCATCATACGAAAGGCCACTATAGTGGCCCGTAGTACCTCAGTCACATCTTATGGAAGGCCACTATAGTGGCCCATAGTACCTCAGTGAAATCTTATGGAGGGCCACTATAGTGGCCCGTAGTACCTCAGTCACATCTTATGGAAGGCCACTATAGTGGCCCATAGTACCTCAGTGGCATCTTATGGAGGGCCACTATAGTGGCCCGTAGTACCTCAGTGGCATCTTATGGAAGGCCACTATAGTGGCCCGTAGTACCTCAGTGACATCTTATGGAGGGTCACTATAGTAGCCCGTAGTAGCGAAAGGGTTAATCTATACTCGTCAAGAACTTAAAGGTTTCCAAGTTTCTTTTATCGATACAATTTTTCTCGTGAATCAAACATCAGATCTTCTTTGAATATTAGGAGAAAGAAAACACAGAACATCCCGGAGTCGATTACTGTGTCTCTATGGCCTACAGGGATTAGTTATCGTGCCTCAGTCGTTGTGTCCCTCCCTGAATACTGTGCTTCAGTCACTGTGTTCCCACCCTGAATGCTCGGGCTCAATAACTGTGCATAATAAAAATTTCATATTTAACATACGTTAATAAACCGTATTCTCTAGAAGAATGAATGTAATATCGTGAGAAGTATTCTCTTTGACAATATTTTATTCTTCGCTTTACGTTCCGTGGCACCGTACAATAAAATCTCTTAATAACAACCCCTCGATCGTGTCGCTCGCAATCCGCACGTTGCATGTCTCTCTGCCTGCTCGTCCACATCTCTCGTAATCCTCTGCTAATTACTCGTTAGTAATTGCACATTCGTTATTCCTAATTTAACGATTAATATAATTGTAATCTTACAATATTATAATAAGTCATTTAAAGATTTACATTATATAGATGATTGCTTTAATAAAATTTCATATTTACATTTCTTCTCCTAAAGTATATGACAGAGATGATTTGAGATTTCAGATCTAAACGCATCGAGTGAGCAATAGGATTCAGTTAGTTCATTTACTGTGCACAGTAACTGAACCACTGAAATTGAAACGAAAAACAAAGATTCGAATAAATAATCACTGTTTTGTGTTTCCATAATCTTAATTTTTTTTTACGAATACAATTAACATCTTAATATCTTCCCTGAAACGATTTATTTTACTGAATATTGATCTTCATTTGTTCAGTATTTTCTTGAGCTTTCTCATTAGCTTTGCAGAACATATCACGAGTTCGGTACGGAAAAATTGAAATAACTTTTGCAGTATTTCAAGAACTTCCGTCTCCTACATGTTTGATTTTACCAAATAAATAATTAAGTGACTTTAAATAAGGTAAACTTAATATGCCCTATTCGATCAATGGAAAGTTGATTCTGCTTGAAAATAAACTAAAGGCACAGTAATTGGCTAGCCCACAGTAACTGGCTCCACTAACTAACTGTCGGTTCTTCGAAGTGCGATGGTTTCTTCAGGGTGTTTCAGACTTGACGACTCGAGTTATTTGTTTGTGATCAGGATGATACATCGAAGAGCAGCTCGACGGCGAACGAACTGGGCCTCGCCAACGTCGGCGGCGTGTTCGTGGTTCTGATGGGCGGGATGGGCATCGCATGCGTGATAGCAGTGTGCGAGTTCGTTTGGAAAAGCCGGAAGGTCGCCATTGAGGAACGGGTGAGTGAGGTCAGATAGCACGTCGAAGAGGGCGTGATCGCGCCCGAAGTAACTTCGTCCAACACGCATCTTGATCCCGACGCGATCTATCCCGACATACCGCGCGAATATATCAGTTGATGTTCGCACGATGGTGGAGTTCCTCTTTAATGGTCACGGTGCAAGTACAGAACCACTCGGGTTTGATCGTTCTTACCGTCCCGATCGATGAATCACGGCGGCGCGGCGAAACATCTTCAAATGTTCTGAGCGAACATTCTGCAGCCTGTCATCATAACCGTTTGCGGCGAGGAGTATCATTAATGCCAGGCTTTCTTTCACTTCGTTGGTGCTATCTGTACAGAGTATTCCATAAATAATGGATCAATGTTTGGGATCATGTTTTGCTTACACGTTTTACTGGGTACGTTAACGCCTTTTGCTTTTCGTTTCGTAAAATGTGAGTGCTCAATAATTGAACTGCATCGATGGCTTCTTACTGCTGACGCCACTTCGCAAAGTTATTGAACAAGCTGTTAGCTAGTATGATTGCATGGCTGGAACACGATTGTATTTTGCGCGTCGGCGATTAGATTTAGAATTTTTGAAAAACTGCGATCGACGCGGATTCGCGATTTCGGTATTTACAGGGAGAATTTATATTTAGATAGTACGTAGTACTGCCAATACTCCATACTGCCATAGATTAAAATGCCTAGACTAATTCTCTTGCTACAATTCCAGACGCAACGTCTGATCACCTATTTATTCCGTTTCGAAACGAATTTTTATAATGTTTGTTCGAAGCTATAGACTGACCTACTATATGTGCATATTACAAAATCATTGATCATCAGACGCAGCTTAAACATGTCCTTCTATTATTCTTTATAATTCCTTTATGTCAATCCTGTACGATTTATGTTCGAATGATAAGCGCACCGAGTGGGTGCGACGATACTGAACACGTCTCTTCCTTCGAAAGTTTACGATAATTCTTTCTGGCTTTGTCTCCACTCAGTTTTCTTTCGTTCGTTCGAAGAATTGCGAATCGCTGGAATAAAACATAAAGATCTGGAACAATTCAAAGCAAACCTGTGTGCATTATTCTCTTTTTCTATTTTCCTTTTCACGTTTGCGCATATTTCTCTTTGCTAAATTGTTTTAATTTAACCGTTCACTGAACTTCTAACGGCTACATCGAAAATAAGAATGAAGTGAATCTATCGAGGAATTCGAGGAACATAGAAGGAGGTCATAACTTTGCAATTAATAGATATTTTTAAATAAAAATATTGGGTTAGCAACTAAGTAATTGTCGATTTCAGTCATAGATGTCTCTCACTCCCATTTTTATGATATCCGTAAATGTTATATATTATAAAATTATTATTATTATTATTATTATGTTATTTTTTATTATCCGTGAATGTTAGCAACTGGACAAATTGAATGCAGCGGTCAAGGAAAAGCGACCAGAATTGGTCGATTGTAAAGGTGTCATTTTCCAGCAGGACAATGCTAGGCCGCACACGTCTTTGTCCACTCGGCAAAAATTCATGGATATTAGTCCATATAGTCCTGATCATAGGACTATAGTAGGATGGTCCTGATCATAGGACCATATAGTCCTGATCTCGCGCCATCGGATTACCACTTATTTCGATCCCTGGACAACTCCCTTCGTGGTAAAACTTTTAATGATGATGACGCTGTAAAATCTCACTTCACTCAGTTTTTGGCCGAAAAGGATCAGACTTTCTACGAGCGTGGAATTTTCAAGTTGTCAGAGAGATGGCAAAAGGTCATCGAACAAAATGGAAAAT